CACACACTCTCCTGTTACACACACTCCTGTCTACAGACGGACACACACATCACGGCCAGACCCTCTCAGAGACTCCAGCTGGACCCACACACAGGTGCGCTATTCACACACACCTGCAGAACACAGACCTGTGCAGAACACACACCTGTGCAGAACACACACCTGCAGAACACACACCTGTGCAGAACACACACCTGTGCAGAACATACACCTGCAGAACACACACCTGTGCAGAACACACACCTGTGCAAAACACACACCTGCAGAACACACACCTGTGCAGAACACACACCTGTGCAGAACACACACCTGTGCAGAACATACACCTGCAGAACACACACCTGTGCAGAACACACACCTGTGCAGAACACACACCTGCAGAACACACACCTGTGCAGAACACACACCTGTGCAGAACATACACCTGCAGAACACACACCTGTGCAGAACACACACCTGTGCAGAACACACACCTGTGCAGAACACACACCTGCTTCACCTGTATAAAACCTGTTCTCTGTGTGTGGAGGAACCAGTGGTATTAAGTGTGTTTGTTTGTGTGTGTGTGTGTGTGTGTGTGTGGGTGTGTGTCTCACTCACTAATACACACACACACACACACACACACACACATTAGGCCCAGCGCCAGTAGGTCATAACTGACGGGGCAGTTTAATCGCTCAGGCTAGACCTGCTGGCTGAGTTCAGTTGCTCCTCTTCCTGTCATTATGGCGCTTTATTCACTCATTTATTAACACTTTGCATTACTGCCAGAGTTACTGACTTAATAAACGTTTTATAGTAATAATAATATGCAGCTTTGGTGAGGCAGTGGCGCAGTAGGTAGTGCTGTGGCCTCACAGCAAGAAGGTCGCTGGTTCGAGCCTCGTCTCAGTTGGCGTTTCTGTGTGGAGTTTGCATGTTCTCCCTGTGTTGGCGTGGGTTTCCTCCGGGTGCTCCGGTTTCCCCCACAGTCCAAACACATGCGGTACAGGTGAATTGGGTTGGCTAAATTGTCCGTAGTGTATGAGTGTGTGTGTGATGTGTGTGTGTGTGTTTCCCAGAGATGGGTTGCGGCTGGAAGGGCATCCGCTGCGTAAAAACTTGCTGGATAAGTTGGCGGTTCATTCCGTTGTGGCGACCCCGGATTAATAAAGGGAATAAGCCGACAAGAAAATGAATGAATGAATGAACATGCAGCTTCGCCATTATGGATGTTATTAATGAAGGTAATGCAGCGATGGCGTTTATTAACGCAGACAGATCATGGCTTCTGCTCCAAACCACTGCTTTAACTCATATCTCAAGGCAAGTTTATTTCTACAGCACATTTCACACACAGCGGCAATGCAAAGCGCTTTACATAAACAGGAATAAAAGAGACACGTATAAGAGAAAAGCAGATGACCTGATTAAAAACAAATAAAACTGATAACATGTGTTAAACAGGTTATAAAAGAATAAGCAAGATACAACAGTGTGACCTGTCGGACGCAGCACAAAGCTCATCCAGTAAAGGCTCAGCTGAACAGATGTGTGTTCAGTCCTGATGTGAATGTGCCTAATGTTGGAGCACATCTGATCATGTCTGGAAGCTGACTCCAGCAGCAGGGGGCGCTGTTAAAGCTGAAAGCTGATTCACCCTGCTCTGACTGAACTCTTGGAGTTTCTAGAGTATTTGATCCTGTAGATCTGAGTGATCTGTTGGGTTTGTGTTCAGTGAGCATATCTGTAATGTATTGAGGTCCATTTAGTGATTTATAGACCAGTATTAATACTCTAAACTCTATTCTGAATGTAACTGGGAGCCAGTGTAGAGACCTGAGGACAGGTGTGATGTGCTCTGATTTTCTGCTTCCAGTCAGAATTCTGGCTGCAGCGTTCTGGATGAGCTGCAACTGTCTGACTGTCTTTTTAGGAAGACCAGTGAGGAGTCCATTACAGTAATCCACCCTGCTGCTGATAAAAGCATGAACAAGTTTCTCTAAATCTTCACTGGAAACAAAGCATCTGATTCTTGCTATGTTTCTGAGATGATAGTATGCTGATTTACTGACTGCTTTGACATGACTACACTGTCAGAGGGTGTCAGTGGGGCTGTAGTCATTAGGCAGTAAGGCTCAGTAGATCTGACTGTCATCAGCAGAGCTGTGTAGGAGATTTGCTTCTTTCTCATTATTTATTCTCCTTATTTCTTTCAGTTTGATGTCAAATAATATAAATGTGTAAAGTTTAAGGTGAAGATGTCCACACATGCAAACTAGCCCATCATTCTGTAGCCGATGAATAAATATAGTGAAATCAGCATAACCGAGTCGTCACGCTTCATTACCCAACCAACATCAGCGTCAGGAAAAAGTCAAATGCTACATGTCTTTAAATAAGAGTAGCTAAATGTGATACAGGTAGATCTTAAAGCATTAATGTAGCAAAACAGAGTCTAGCTGCGTCTCAACTGGCTCACTATACCAGTGACGCCCCCAGAAAATGTTCATAGGGGTGGCCAGAAGAGGCCACACCAAATCTTGGGGTGGCACACTAAAAAAATTAATTCAGTGTAATGTTATATTTTTGTTTCTGGTAAATTAAATAATGTGATTTTAATTCATTTAATTAATTAGTCTTACAATATCGCAATTTATTCCTTGAAATAATTCAGCAAATGTGCAAACCAAATAAAAATCAATATTTAGTTTAAAAACACTTCTCATATAAAGAAATAACTTTTCAGTTATTTTTCACATACATTTATTGTACAGCATACAGTATATGCCACGTCTAAAATTAATTGAGATTAATGAGTTAAATAATAAAACAAACAAGTGAACAAACTGAACAAAAGGCATTACTATATATACACACACTCACTATACAGACCCTAATAATATAATTTATCTATATCCTTTTTTGAGCCACTTTATTAATGCAGCTTTTTCTATTGATGTACCTTAAGGTAAATATTACATAGCCATTACTGTCTATTGAAGGTGTGTGTGTGTGTGTGTGTGTTGTCAACGACGATCAGGGAGGGCAGTGGTGGTTCTAGTTTAGATGACACCCTGGGCGAACCACCCCATAAACCTACCCTCCTTAAATAGTTACATTTATTTTTTTCAATAAATATAAAAATTTACTTATATTTATTCTAAATAAATACAATTAATGTTTCTATTATTACACAATTATCATTCTAAATAAATAACAGACATCAATCCTAAATGTTACTGGAAAACAATGTAATAGAGTGATATGCTAAGATCACTTAGGGAACCTTTTGCATGAATATTAGTTATCAGTTATAGTTTTATCAGCGTGCATGTAAACAACCGGGATTCACACACGAGTGCGTGAGCCGCACGGGAATGCTTTTCTGCGCGCATGTGTCAGTTTGCTTTCACCAGCGTTGTTTCGGTTGCACAGAGAGAACGCGTGCAAAAGATGTGAACGGCCCTTAATGTCTTTATTCTGGGATTGCCACTCTAAGTTAACACACGTGCATAAAGTAAATGGTATCCCAATGCTTTTACTAGGGGATGTTTTTGTTGCACCATCTCCGCGTGCCGCCCCCAACAAGATACTTGCGACGCCGCCCTGGCATTTAGCATATTGCCCAAATCCACCACTGGGGAAGAGAGGGACAGTGTATCAGCTACATTAGTGGCACCAACAATAATTTAGTTGCTGCATGTTATTTATTTATCTATAAAAACGTTATGAATTTATATAAGTACATATAAGTTAATAATATCAACAGCAAAATCATATTGGGGTGGCCACAGGGGTGGCCAGAGTTTACCCTTGGGGGCGCCCCTGCACTATACACTGCGCACTCATGCACTATGCACTTACACACTCAACAGCAGAGTGTATGTGTGTGGTGTCGTCCCAAATGGAGCACTAATGTTTTTCTACTAGACGAAAATTCAAACCGTTTCCCTGATGACATTTGACGGTTGCCAAATCAGTGAAATAAATGACCGAACTATCAAATAATACCTGCCGTGAGTATTGCCGCATTCACCATCAGGAGGCGCTATAATCACTCTCATAGGAGAATTTGGCTTTTCGGGGTGAAGCTGTGGTGCAGCGCAGTAGGTAGTGCTGTCGCCTCACAGCAAGAAGGTCGCTGGTTTAAGCCTCGTCTCAGTTAGAATTTCTGTGTGGAGTTTGCATGTTCTCCCTGCATGTGCGTGGGTTACCTCTGGGTGCTCCGGTTTCCCCCACAGTAGTTTTATTCAGATTTTAAAGGGAAATGATGGTTCATGTTAGGCTGTGTGAAGAGTGTGTTGTATAAGTGAGTTGCTTTTTTCGTTATTCGTCCGGTTGGCATTTGTACAAACGCCACCATAAGCCATTAGGCTATTCGGCCAACTCGTTATGTTATTTATTTATTTATTTAGCCTAATTTAATAACTCGCTTTCAGGTTGCATATTAATTTTTAGGGTCACAAGCTACAAGTCAAAATAAAATCCATATGCTTTAGCTGTTAACAGGCCTACAGTATTGACCTTATCCTAGAATGCGGAGTGCGGCTGTGTTCACGATTATTTCAGAACTTCTGATTCAGTCGCCTGTGGGAGAAATGACTAGGAATAATAAACGGCAGAAAACGGTCAAACTACTCGCTCTACAAACAAATGTTTGCATGACTACACAGACCAAGTAGAATAATGTAATAAGGAAACATCATTTTGCAACATCAGTCAGCCCACCTGCAGCTCATGCAGGAGGTGGATCCACAGCCAACCACATCCACAGCAGACTGAGAGGTGTGTACTCAGTCTGTGTGTGTATTATGTGTGTGTGTGTGTGTGTGTGTATTATCTGAGTGTGAGCAGCAGATGGCAGCAGAGCTGCTCTAATCACATCTAGTCTCTGTAGCAGTGAGGTGTGTGTTTAGTGTGTGTGTATTATGAGTGTGGGTGTGTGTGTATGTATGAGTGTATGTGTGTATGTATGAGTGTATGTGTATTATGGACATGTGTGTGTGGTGTGTTTA